CAGCCGTCCGCCGCCTGGGTGCTGGTGGGGGGTGGAGGAGGAAGAAGGCGACAGTTGAGGGCAGAGGAGGTGAAGGTGCCTGCTGCCTTCCCGGTAGCCTCCGCCGGCCGAGCCCGCTTCGCGAGGGGAAGAACTGCAACGTCTGACCTACTCTTCTCTCCACTCTCTTTGTGCAATAAAGTTCGAAACCCAAGGCTTCCTCTTGTGCTGTATTTTATTCGTGCCCTTTCCTCCCGCTCCTACACGGTTGGGGAAACGCAGTTTTCTGTCCTGTGCTGCTTAGTTGAGCTGATGAGAGCTTGTGCTTTTTAAGGGAATTTTTGACTCTTTATCTCACCCCTCCTCTTTTTTTTTTTTAAAAGGTCAGTAGTCATGGAAATGCGTTCTTTTTGGGAGGAAGGGGTGCTAAAAACATTTGTAATAACTTTTTAAGAAAACTGTTCAGATCCTGTAAAAGGGAAGCCAGTGTTTTAAAACAGTTTCGCTTTTAACCCTTTTTGTAAGGTTATAATCACTTGAGGTCTATCATTCTGAAACACTTCGTTGAAACGAATTATTAGCCGACGTACTTTTGTTTTACATCATTTTGGGGGCGCAACCTTGCCAGCGGCGTTTGGGTCATCTGTAACTCCCTTTACCCCTCTACCCCTCTCACCATGTCTTCCCATATTTTAGACAAAAATTTCAATGAAAGATTGATTTAATTTTAATTCTAAAAATAGACTTTAAAACTATTATTTGTCCCGAGTGCAGTAGGTAACCCGAGTTTTGAGATTGACAATAATTTCAACCACATACCTTTTTCTTTTTTTTTTTTTGGTCTTTTGGGAAAGGGGACAATAGAAAAGTCATTGACACATTAAAGATTACAAGACAGTTTTTAGAGGACCTGCAGTGTGACCTATTTAAGTATATAATACCTTCTCGAGAATTTCATTCTAGCTTCAGCTCGCTCTTCCTTCTAGGTTTAGTATAAGATAGTTTTGGTTATTGCCTACTGAAATTTTACATTTATTGCTTATTTCCTGATGTGAAAGTAAAGCCATAAACAGTTACTTGAGGTGGTGCAAAAGATGAACAGGTTGTTTTAAAAATATTTGTCAGGGTATGACTGAACTCTGATTTTTGTGGGGAATAAATGTTGATTGGTTATAGAAGCACTGTCATCTCTTCTGTATGGAAGTAACTTTTCCAAATCGTACTTTACTGTATTGCTGTCTTTAAAGTACCTCATTAACAATTTGTTATTGCTAAGAAATTTAATTTAAAAGGTGAAATAAAGGGAATTTTTCTATAAGGATTGGGAAAATAATTTTATTTCCAAACGACGAGGAACAACTGTCTGCGAGATTTTTAAAATTGTTTTCTGATAATGTTGTTCAGTTTAGTCCAAAAGAGCTTTTAAACTTTATTTTATATATAGATTAATAATTTGTGGTTTTTAGCAAATCCAAGTGAAACTTTTCAAACTGTTATATTCATTAATATTTGAACATTCACTTAGAATGTGGTACTTACTCTACATTACTTCTGTGCCCTCTCAGGAATCAAAAAGATTATGCTGGGATCTGCTTGAATCTTTTTTTTTAATTTGGATGAACACCTACATTTAGAAAACTAGTAAGCTTTGACAGACTTTGCCTGAAGAACATTAAAATAATACATCTTTTAGAATTTACTTAGTGTTTCAAATTTTGAATGAATTTTTTTCACGTAAGAACCTGAAGAAACTTAGAAACCTGATCCATAAAAATGGCACCTTTTTTGTTCTCCTTCCTGAAACGCATATTCTTGGGGTTGGATCTTATTAATTGAAATTTTGTCTCTCATTCTCAGACATCTAGTTTTGTTTGTTTGGGTACAGAATAGTTACATTTTAACTAAAACCAAGTATGTGTCCTCCACCATATTTTCAAATTCTCTCTTGACAATAAAGTCATTTATTTGTAACTTCATGCTCAATTAGTGTATCGCTAGAATTTGTAATTTCATTTATTCCATAAATAACTTATCCAATAGGATTACATAAACTTGTTTATATAATATTTTTGCCTAACTTATATATTTGCCTATGTCACAGCCAAAATGCAAATGCCAAAAAATATGCAAAAAAAAATTTTTTTTTTTAGAGACAGTCTCACTTTATTGACCTTGGTAGAGTACAGTGGCATCACAGCTCACAGCAACCTCCACCTCCTGGGCTTAGGTGATTCTCTTGCCTCAGCCTCCTGAGTAGTAGGCAAATATTTTTCTTGATGTACCCTGTAACTTTCAGTGACAGCTGCTTTATTGAATAGAGCTCAAATCAGAATTTAAGGATGTAGTAGACATTAGGGAATGGAAAAATGCAGGAATTTCTATTTGTTTAACTCATGTGTGAACTCATTGCTGCAGTAGCATGTGAGATGGCAGTTTATAGTAATTCAAATATTAGCATTTACTATGACAGAATATTGTTGACAGCATGCGGTTTGGAATCACAGGCTTGGGTTTCAATCCTAACATTGCCTGCTGCTATCTTAAAAACACCCTCAAGGAATTTTGTGACCTGAGGGAAGTTTCTTATCAGTAAAATTAGAATAATACCATTTGCCTTAAGGGATTGTGAGATAAATATAAAGTACCCTAACGATTCAACTAATGATAACAATTCATCTTCAACTTCCTACCTGTGGGACCTTCGGCAAGTTTCCTAACTACCTCACTTTCCTTGCTAGAAAAAAAACATGGAATATCTACTTCCAAATTATTGGGATTAAATAAATTTAATATATATAAATGCCAGTTATTTAGTGGTTGCCTATTATTTTTAAAATTTTTATTACCATATTTAATATTCTGGGTCAGAAGCTGCAGCAAATCCTACGATAAATTGTCTTATCTCAACCCCCAAGGAACTGTTGGGGAAACAGTGACTAATGCCCAATATGTGTCATAGAAAGCAGTTAAAGGAAAGAGATCACCCTAGATGAAGTTAAAAAGTATACTTTTTTATATCTTCAATTTTGTTTTTAGGATAATTCATTCAGATGTCTCTTTTTGTAAACATACAAAATAATATTATCCTACATAATATAGCAAAATATTCCTATATTCTCGCTTTGTCACCCACGTGTTAACTTTTTTTTGATCTTTTCTGAGTCACTTTATCATACACAGGCAAATTATGTACTCTTCCCTCTTTGTACAAATGGTAGTAGTCTATACACATACTGTTCTACATCATGCTTTTTCTTCCCACTTAGTATCAATTAATTTGTATGAGTAGATGAAGAGTTAGAAATTTTGATGTATTGCATTATATAGAATTGTCTATTAATCAGTTATTGAACTGATTTTATTTTTAGGTGCTGTATGAACTTAGAAATTAACGGTATCTGCCATCATGCCTTTATTTTTTTAAATGAAAAACATTTCATTTGAGTGAAAAATTTGAAATAACTTGTAACAGGAAATTGTTACTTGAAGTGCCTTCCTATTTAGCTCATTTTAAAAGTTTTAAAGATGTATTACATATGAGGAGTCTAGCAGACTGTGTAAGGGTTAAATCACAAAGCAGATTTAATCTGAATTTAGTTAACTTGTTGAAGTTCTTACAATCCTAATAGACTGCTTTTTTCAATTAGTATTATGACCAATTTTTTTTTAACTTTCTCTTTTAATGAGAAAGAACATTTTATAAAGGCCAGATTTTTTGTGTTTTTTTTTTTTTTTTTAAGCAAGAAACTTGGGGAACATTATTACCCAATAAGACTTACCAGTGTAATAGACTTCTTCCTGCATTTTTTTTTCACATGATCATTAACCTGCCTTGATGATTTCCTAATATTTTGTGATGTAATTGTCAGTGAGCTTTATATTTTGTACCAGCTCCTGTAAAGACATGTTTTATAGGTTGAGTATTCCTTTGTGGAAATGTTTGGGACCAGAAGTATTTTTGGATTTCATATTTTTTTCAGATTTTAGAATATTTGCATATGAGATATCTTGGGGATGGAACCCAAGTCTCAACGTGAAATTCATTTATGCTTTATGTATTCCCTATACAAATACCTTGAAGGTGATTTTATACTTTATATTTTAAATTTGTTTATGAAACCATTTGATTATGACCCATCACATGCAGTCAGATGTAGAGTTTTCCACTTGGGGTGTCATGTCCATTAGTGTTCAATTTTAGAGCATATTGGATTTTGTATTTACAGATTTAAGGGTGCTCTACTACGTTATACTATACCCAGAGTTTTGTTCATTTGTCTTGTAGGCTACCAAAAAGGAAAAATAAAAAGATTATCTAACATTTCATATTCTTTTGTTTATTCCAACAGATAAGATTATCTTTAATGATGAATAATTACAATTTCATGTATTATATACATACATTGTACATCTCCAGTAATGAAAAATTATCTAAAACGTATATTAATTCTTGAGGCTAGGTATACAAATCTCAACTTCAAAAAAAATAGTAGTACTCCTTGATAAACTTATAAATTCCTAAGAT